AGAAAGAAGAGCGGAAGTGCGGAAGGAGGAAGAGGAGGGGCTGTGTTGAGTTATGTGCGTTGCTACATGGTGGTGGTGGTGGTGGTGGTGGTGGTGGTGGTGGTGGGATAAAAGACGGATGGATGGACGGAGGAATAGGTGTAGGTATGGGTCACAGACGCACACTCCCACACTCCCACACCCTCCCCAATACGCCCCCTTGTACAACCCCCAACACACGTACACACACCTGCCCAGCGACGCTCAAACCGCAACCCCCTCATGCACCACAAGAGTCCCCTCCGAGGTCTCAGATCATGATGTGAAAAGGGAGAGCGGCGTGCATCAAGCTGGCTTGGTGGTGCAGTTTGTGTGGGCTGGGGCGAGGGCTGGGTATGTTGTGTTGCCTGTGTGGGAAGTGTGTGGGTAGAGTGTGAGTCATGTGCGTGACCATTCGTCAAGGCCATCCCGTACATTTGCAGAGTCGGCTGGGTACATGGGTGGGTGTTTGTTTTTGTCTATCCGTTTTTGTCTTGGTTGGGGTGTATGGTGGTGTGCGCAAGTACTCTCGCCCACTACCGGCATCGTTGATACTACTGCTGCCACCACTGCTGTCAACCACCATGACCACTGTTGTTATCATCATCATCATCATCATCATCGATAATAACACCAAACTCCCAAAACCCCCAGAGTCCTAGGGCCGAGGGAAAGTGGACCAATCCTTTTTTGACGTGGCTCTTTTCTCTCTTTTCTGTTTTCTTCTCTTCTCTTCTCTTCTCGTGTTCAAGGTAGAGGGGGGAGGAGAGGGGAGGGGAGAGGAGGGGAGAGCAAGGTCAGAAGAGGATTTGCTGCGAGTCCGGGCTCGGGTGGGGTCCCACGCCTCTGGGGATGGGGATGGGGTTGTGTGGTTCGGTTGGGTTGGGGGCAGGTCGGTGGTTCGTGGGTAGTTGGGTGGTGTGGTGTGGATTGTTGGCTGGGTGTTTTTCGGGTGAGTATGTTGGGTGGTTGGTGTGTAGTGTTGGTTCATCAACTCGATGGTCTTCCAATGCGCGTGTTGGTTTATCGAACGGTACCAGTGCTACGATGGCATCCCTGCGCCCTTTGAAAACCCAACCTCAAAAATCCTCATAATCGGTACAGCCATCAAACAGGTCCATCACCACCCTCAACATCGGCTCAAGCAAACTCGTCTCATCCCCCGGTATCCCGCCAAAGATTCTCAGCCGCTGGCGTTCGAGGTCGTGCTCGCGGTGGGTGGGGAGGTGGAGGTGGTGGTGGCGGTGTTGGTGGGTGAGGGGGGTGGGGGGTGGATCTCTAGTGTTGCTAGTAAAGAAGCTGTTAGGCAGTTAGCGTCTGTGTGTAGACTACTAGATGCTTAATAGCATAATAACCTTAGACTAATACCTACTACTACTTATTAAGGAAACTTTATACACACTATCTAGCGTAAATTAGTTTATAAAAGTAGATATTTACGCTGCCTTTTACAAAGTTAGAATAGTAGAAGGTTATAAGTCCTTAACTACTTTCTATACCTAGTTTAGGTTATATAAATAGTTAGTATATCTATTTAGTCTTAGTGGTGCGCTATCTACTTTCTAATAATATATTAATACCACGCTTATAGAGTTACTTAGATTATATGCAATAGCCTACCTTAATAATATCTTAATTTATTTA